AATGCTCCATCATATTTATCTCTTCTGTTCCTTTCCTTACTCTTCTCCTTCTCATAGTTCTTCCTTTTTGTTTTTCTCATTTCGAAAAGAAAGAGGGAAGGGAGAAACAAGGGAGAGAGAATAGATAACGAAGAGTGCCATCTTCTCTGCGCCTTGTTTTGTCTCTCCCTCTTCTCTATTCATCTGTCTTCTATTCTTTTCTTTGCTCTTCCCATTAAATATGCAATCCTTGGTATCTCTCCTCTCTCCTTCTCTCTTCCTGCAACAGATGTGCTTTGGGGTCGTTTTCTGCATCTTCAAGCGAGAAAAAGGACACAGAATGCGATTAAAAGGGACGCCCATGTTGGATTGGCAGCAAACCCACCTGATGCTCATGATTCTCTTTCTTTCCCTACATAAGGGCGATGGAACGGGTGTCCTTTTCAATCGTTTTCTGCATCTTCAAGAGAAGAAGGGACACCCCAAAAGAAGGAAAAGTAACATAAGAGATAGGGAGGGAAATTGAAGAACTCCTCATTGTACTTAGTCATTCCCTTTCCTCTCTTATTATCTGCCCATTTTCTGTGCGCCTTGTTTTGTCTCTCCCTCTTCTCCCTTCATCTCTCTTCTAGTCTTTTCTTTGCTCTTCCCATTGAAATGCAACCCTTTTTATCTCTCCTCTCTCCTTCTCTCTCCCTCCTCTTCTCCTGTTCCCCTCTAAACGACAAACACGCAAGAAAGGAAGAATAAGAGGGGAATGGAGGCCCTGTTCCTTTCTTCTCCTCTTTCAATGGATGGGGGAAGTGGGCGGAGTTGGCTCCTTGCCTGTACACCCTCCCCATGCTTCAGCAAACCCCTCCTCTCGCCCTATCGCCTCTGTTCTTTTCCTTGTGCCCAAACGGAAAACGAGAACGGGTTCCTTCATATGTTCATTGTCCTTCCTTTGGTTTTTTTTATTTCGCAGGGAAAAGAACCAAAGAAGAGACAGATAAGAACGAGAGGTGAGATGAAAACGGCACCATCTTCTCGTTGCCTTATTTTTGCACCTCCCTCCCCTGTCTTAATTGCTCTTCCACTCTTTTTACCATTGCTCTTCCCATAATATTGCATTCCTTTTGATAACTCACAGGAAATTAAAATGGCCTCCTTGTTGTCTCTCCTCTCTCACTTCCCTTTCCCTTCTCTCCTTCTGTTTCCTTTTAACTTTAACTTTGGGTTCGGCCGGTCCACACTAACAGTCCAATAATGCCCTGGCCTTATAACACACAGGCCAAAAATAGCACCAGGAAACCCAGTCAATTTTAGCATTTACCGGGTGCTGCTTTTTGTGGGTCTGCTGGTGGTGACTGCTAGTCACATAGCACCAGAAATAGCACCAGAAATAGCACCAGAAAAAGCACAAACAATAGCACAAAAAATAGCACCAGTCAATTTTAGCAGCTTAGCATTTACCGGGTGCTGTTTTTTGACAGCAGCGTACCCTCGTGGAACGTGTATGGCTATAAGAAAACCCGAGTCCCAGCTTCCAAATAGACCCTATTTAAGCCACCCACGGGGTGGGGGGTGGGCGGGTGGTTACACGAACGGTTTAGTGTCATGACAGACCAGACCAACCCCCACTTGCACAGTTCGTAGCGTTTGTGTGTCTTACCACTTACGCTTTGCAAATTTGCTGCGTGAAGTTGCTGCGCGAAAAGTAGAGCAATGTGCTGATGCACACAAGCAGACTTCAGTCATGCCATGTGAATGTAAATGTGTCTTCAGAGACTGTGGCTTTCCTGAACAAGAGCCAAACGTCCTGCTCTCCCCGGTGTTGCTATGTCTAACTTGGCACTGAGTGCCACCGAACCAAAGAAGCTGGTGAGCCAATCCTGGAGTTCCACTACTTTGCTGGCAGGGGTCGACGCAATGGCAGCCCAGCAAGTCAAAGAGGAAACCGATCCTGAGATCGAGGCTATGGAGGCCCAGCTACAGGACCCACCCACCTTGTATTCTCCTGTTATTCCGGGTGTGTGTGTGTGTGTGTGTGTCTCTGTGTCTCTGTGTCTCTGTGTCTCTGCGTCTCCGTGTCTCCGTGTCTCTGTGTCTTGCAATCTGTGTCTCCGTGTCACCGTGTCTCCGCGTCTCCGCGTCTCCGTGTCTCTGGGTCTCCGTGTCTCCGCGTCTCCGCGTCTCCGTGTCTCCGTGTATCCGTGTCTCCGTGTCTCCGTGTCTCCGTGTCTCTGTGTCTCCATGTCTCCGCGTCTCTGCATCTCCGTGTCTCCGTGTCTCTGTGTCTCCGTGTCTCTGTGTCTTGCAATCTGTGTCTCCGTGTCTGTGTCTCTGTGTCTCCGTGTCTGGGTCTGGTGTTGGTGTCTGTGTCTGTGTCTTTGTCTTTCTGTTTGTGTTTGTCTTTCTGTTTGTGTTTGTCTTTCTGTTTGTGTTTGTGTTTGTGCTTGTGTTTCGGCTTGTGTTTCTGTTTGTGTTTGTGTTTGTGCTTGTGTGTGTGCCTCTTCGTGTATTTGTGTCTTTGTGTCGTTGTGCCTTTGTGTCTTTGTGTCTTTGTGTCTTTGTGTGTTTGCGTGTTTGTGTGGTTGTGTTGTGTGGGGGTGTGTGTGTGTGTGTGTCCCTTTCTCTCTCTCCCTCTCTCTCTCTCTGTCTCTGTCTCTGTCTCTGTCTCTGTTTCTGTCTCTGTCTCTGTCTCTGTCTCTGTCTCTGTCTCTGTGTGTGTGTGTGTGTGTGTGTGTGTGTGTTTGTTTGTGCGTGTGTGTGTGTGTGTGTGTATTGGTGTGTGTGTGTGTGTGCTCTGTAGGAGCTGCGAAAGCGCCGGATGGAGCTACGGAGCCCACCGCCTGCCTCACCGTCAGACGCAGATCATCTAGCCCCTGGAGGACAAGCCACCCAATCCACCCCATGGAGGAACAACAAGAAGCCAGCACTGGGAGTGGAACCTGTCCCAACCCCGACCCGGACCACCCCAACAGCCAAGCAGCTTTTCGTAGCTGGCCTGCACTATGTAGGTCATTGGTCATAAGTCTACAGAAAGCAGATTCATACCTTTTTCTTAAATCCCCCAGGTCAGCCCTCCGTCTGCTCATGGCCCTGCAAGCAAACCTGGTGGAACGGGCTCCACCCCCGAAGGTTCTGCAGTGGAAAATGAAGTGGAACGCTTAAGAGAGCAGGTGGCTTCTTTGGAGCTGGAGAACCGGAATCTTCACTGTCAGCTGGAGAGCTTGAGATCCGCGAGTGACGTGAAGCCCGAACCGAGCCTCGAGGACATGAGTTCGGAGTCCTTGAGAAAGCGCCTACAACGTCTGTGTGAGAGAAAGAGGAATGGGCCTCTTGCCTTTTACACAATTGCCTAATGAAGGTTATTCTTTTGAAAATGCCTTTCTTGTACTCCTGCCCAGTTTGACTATATCCAGGGTTTATATAGGCTTTGGGCTATATATGGGTTTATAAGGGTTATATATAGAGTTTGTACAGGCTTTGGGTTATATATATATATATATTTAGGCTTTATAAGGGTTATATAGGGTTTAGGGTTACAGAAAGTTCATAAGGATATAATCGGGTTTCTAGGCTTGATAGGGTCTATATAGGGTGTTTAGGGTTTGTAAGGTTTAGATAGGGTTGAGCTGATCCTCTTCTGCTCTTGTATCAGCAAGTTGGTCTTGGATATCTACACTGTAAGCCAAGGTCGTTGAATGTCCCAGCGGCCATACACAAGCTCTGGCTGAAGGGTGGCAGCGATCGCAATGAGCTGCAGAAGCAGTTGCTGGAGGCCGGCCTCAACAAGGAGAGGGTACTGCTGATGTAGCTTCCGGGGGGGGGGGGGGGGGGGGGGGGGGGCGGGGTGGTTGGGTATGATGGGAGCCATTTTCGGGATTGTGTGCTACTGTTGGCAGGACGACTTCATCCGAAGGGCGCAAGTCTTGATCAGAAACAAGGAATCGGTGAAGTACAAAGTCAAGGCCCAGTGGGCAACCGAAGACAAGATGCGGGATACCCTGAAGCTGAAGGAGCCCCTGGCCTGCATGTGGACTCAGTGTGGGCATACATCTCTGAACCCTCTAGTGTGCCGGAGCCCTTCAGTGTTTGTTCCATCTAAGGCCCAGAATCAAGGCAATCAAAGAGTATTGCGAAGCCCGACGAGGGTACGTCATGCTCTGCGCCTGAAACCCTTTCTTGGGAACATGTGCACAGATGTGCTGACCTGTGTTGCCCTCCCCAGAATTTTGTGCGCACTCTCTCCTGACTTGCAAGGAAGGACAAGTACGAGTCAAAGACGAAGTATTGGATAGAGGAAGACCTGGAGATGGAGTGGGAGCGCGAGAAGGCCCACGAAACCCTGGAGGAAGAGGACTACGACGTGGAAGGTGCGGAGCCACTGGCCCTGGAGGCTGCCGAGTCGCTGGAGCCCGATCTCGATCTGGCTGCACGAGGTACCTTGCTTTTGTGCAGGGTGGGGAGGAAACCTTCTCACGTGATTTTTGTAGGGTGTTTCTACTTGGGGGTTCATGGGTACTTATAACCACAATTATTAATCTACTTATAACTTTCTTCGGGGACTTAGGGGGCTTATAGTTGCAGTTTTTGTTATGGTGATAAGTACCCATGAACCTCCAAGTAAGGCCCGGCTTCGAGTTCCAGCGCTATTGGGTCAGGCGCACAGGTCATGGGGGCGGTTGGGGCGATGTCGCTGCCTCCTGTCGCTACGGGTATGGACCCTTCCAACCTCATCTTGAAGTACATGGAGGGTTTGGCCAAGTTCCAGAACAAGCTATCGGAAACCTGGCTTGCTCATTATGTGAGGAAAAGGTTGCTTGTAACTGAGCAATCTATGTGTCTAGTCGGGCCTTGTCCTGCTCAGGACATGAAGAACAAGTACAATGCGATACCCTCGGACCTGAAGCTTGAAGCCCACGAGCAGAGACTTGGCTAAGATTGAAGAGGTTGTGTAAACCTGTGTCTGCAGTTTCTTATCCCAGCACACACGCATTAGAGTGGCTTATCTTAGGATCGCCAGCAAGTGCACAGCCATGGATGATGATATGCAGAAGGTGCTCAGTGCGATCCGTGATATTTACTCTGCCGGTGCGGTGGAGGGGTACTCGCCATTGTACCTGTGTGGCCCTGGTGTTTCTTTCAGGTCTTAAAGCAGCCCCCCCCCCCCCCAACGAAGTTATATTTTTTCAATCGCTGGTATTCTCAGGCACCAGCAGAAGCTGCGTGATCTGTACAAGCAAGCGAACAAAGTGTCTGAACCTAAGTTGCCTCCGTGATTCTTCAAAGTGTATGAGCTCTTGTCACAGTCACCCGCAACCCAGCTAAGGGCCCAGGAGGCCACCACGCTTGAGGTGCGCTGCAAGGCTGTGCCTGTGCCGAAAGGCGCAACCAGCAAGGCCAAAGGCCCTGGAAAAGGGGGCAGGGGAGCCAAGGGAGCCCCCAAGGGAGCCCCCAAGGGAGCCCCCAAGGGGGAGGGCAAGGAAGGCAAGGGAAAGGGAGCCCACATGTACAAGGCAGAGGCCAAGGCGCCAAAGGCAAAGCCCGCCAGCCGCAAGAGGTAGTGCCCACTTATCCGTGCGCACGTGTGTGCCCAGCTGTTGTGTCCCCGTTTTCAGCTCACATACACAATCCCTGCCATCACCAGTCCTGTCCATCAACAGCATTTTGGGGCAACGGATGATGTGCGACATGTTGCTTTGGTTGACCAAGCCGCCTTTCCTATCAATCGGCGCTGGATCGTGCAACGTTCAAAGGCAAAAGGACTGTGTTCTGTGACTCATGTTCTTCACAAACGAAATCCTGTCCGGAAGCGACATTGCATCATGACATATCTTCATGGAACTGCATGTAGTGTCTTGCAATATGCCAGGTGATCCTGACCGACCTCGTGTTGGGGCTACAATGGATAGATTGGCTCGCTCTTTAGGGGATGGGGCTGGGTGCTCAGAACATGGGCAATGTACTTTAACACGTGCTTGCGTATCCAAGATCCTTGCTGGCCAGGCTCCCGCAGCAGAGCTCCGACGGCACGCGCTGGCAGCCCTTGCAGATCTCCCTGAGCACCTGCAGCCCCCAGCGCTGCGAAAGTTTGCAAGCGCGGCCAATAATTCAAACAACTCCGAAAGGGATCTGCTACGAACACTGAAGAAGTTCAAGAGGGTGCTTCCCTTGACTGTGGATAGCTTTGTGTCTCGGACGGAGCGGGTTCAGTACATTAAGCTGGGGACCTGGTTCCGGTACCTCTTCAATGTTCGCAGTGGCGGCCAGCTAATTGGGGGTTTTGCTCCTACGGACCACTATGCGCATGTTTGCTTGAGGGCCTTTTGGCAAGCCTTCAGGCGAGAACATCCCAGTCATGCTGTTTGTGAGCTTCATGGTGAGCGATTGCACAAGGTCGTTCCTTATGCCCTGCACTTGGATGAAGGGCGTGGGCTACGGAAAAGTGCTGTCTTAGTAGTGCATGCTCAAGGGGTGTTTGGTGCAGACACGGCGCAGCTCTTCCGTGATCGGATCTCCACAGCGGCTGACCTCGGACACCAGCAGCTTGAGGAGTTGATGACAACGTGCCAAACTCATAATGGGAAGGGGTCCAGCTATCTCAGTCGCATGTTGTTCACATGCCTACCGAAAGCTTCGTACACAAAGAAGAAGTCGCATGTCTACGATCAGGTTTTGGAAAGACTTCGGGAAGAGTGCACATCTTTGCTGGAAGACGGGCTGACCATGTCTGATGGGTCTACATTTTACTTTGCTTTAGTGGCTGTGAAAGGAGACGCTCCAGCGCTAGCAAAGGCTGGCAACTTCGTCAGGAATTTCCAATGCCTGCCCCATGCTATATGTCCAGAATGTCTAGCTGCTTCCCCGGGCATACCCTTTGAAGATTGTGGCCGGAACCCTGTGTATGAGCAAACCCTCTTCCAAACACGCCCGTGGAGAGTGCCTTCACCACTGTCAATGATCCCAGGTGTGCCCGAAAGCCCGGAAGTGCTTTTCATGAGGGACCCCTTCCACGTTTACAAGCAGTGCATTGGAGGTTACTATGTCGCCAGCTGTATCGTTCTCTTGGCTGAGATGCAATACTGGGGTTCGCCTGGTGAAAACAGCTTCGACATGGTGATGGACCGTATGTTCCAGGACTTTGCCTACTTTGTGAAGTATGAATTTGCGGGCAGGGTGATCAACCACATCAAACACTTCACAAAGACAAATTTTCACTACCCTCGCACTCGTTCGTTTCCTTACATGAGACCGAAAGGTGGTGACATCATGCTTCTCACTCGGTGGCTTAGACATGCAGTGCTCTATGGGCCCCGGGATGCACATGGTGTTCGTTCAGGCAGCATGATTACCAACTGCTTGGAAGCCCAGCACGTGCCCTTCCTGCAGAACATCATCAAGGCATCGTCGGGTGCCATGAAGTTCTTCCACATCGTGCACAACAATGGGTTGTGGCATCCGCGACAGCTGGCTAAGGAATTAGGGGAGGCGTGCTTCGACTTCTGCGATGCTTATTGCGACTTAGCGTATGCGTCCTACAAGCTTGGGTTGGCCAGGTACAACCTGGTACCTTCTCTGCACTACTACCATCACTTTTATGTGGACGTCAAGATCAAGCTTGCAGATTCCACTGCTGCTTTCATAGCATCTCCCAGCATCGCAAACTGTGAATGCGATGAAGACTACATCGGCAAAATTTCCCGCTTATCTCGTCATGTTCATGCTTCTGTTACAAACGAACGAAGCATTCACCGCTTTTTGGTGAAGATGCACTATGTTTATATGGATCGGGAGGCCTGAAGAAAAATCGCAAGACCCAAACGAATCTTGGACGGGGAGGGCTAACAAACATCACAGTTCACCCCAAAGAAGCTTGACCGAAGTGCCTTCCAATCCGAGTCCGAGGGGCAGGAAGCCAGTGCGTGGGACTCCCCACAGCGGCCCAGGAAAAGCGCCCCATGGTCCAGGATTTTGGGAAATCGGGTTCTGGGGTGGTGCTTCGTTTCTGGGGTGATGCTTCGTCTCGAAGAATGTTCTAGTGGCCTTCTCTACGGACAAGTTCCAGGTATTGGGGTACAATTCAGGTGGGCCTATAGACCTCGTCTAAGCTATGTGCGTTTTTCTTGATGCATGTGCGTTTTTTACAGAAAGGTCCTAAATCCAGGCACACAAACACAAGTACCCAAAAAAAGGCTGCACAGGAGACTGCAGGTAGGGTTTAGGGTTTGGGGTTTGGGGTTTGGGGTTTGGGGTTTGGGGTTTAGGGAAAAAGCCACTCAGACATCCTGAAAGTCTCGAAGGTCTCATGGGTGGTTCGGCACTGCCAGGCAAAAGCACCGAGAAGGCACAACGAAAGTAACCGTGCTCATCATCCAAATCGTCCCTAGAGCCTACGCCTACGCACCATAACACCGTAGAAGCCATGACCTTAAACCCAAATTCCACCATGACACGAAGCCTCACTAAGCTAAGCAAGACCTCCGGAATTTTCCTCATGCATATGGGTTGTAACAGCACTTTGTTTATTGCCTGAAAGCCCTAAGCCCTAAACACTTAGACCTTAAACCCCCATTCCCAAACCCCAAACCCCAAACCCTAAACCCCAAAACCCCATCCCTAAACCCTAAACCTTAAACCCTAAATCCCAAAACCCCATCCCTAAACCCTCAACCCCAAAACCCTAGACCCTAAACCCCAAGGAAAAGTGACCCCGAAATTGTGGGCCCGCCGAGGTCGGCGTGAAAGAGACGGTGAAACTCAAAGCAGACGCGTACGCCTGTGGCCCAAGTGTTTAGGGTTCAGGGCTTAGGGTTTAGTGCTGTTTAGGGTTCAGGGTTCCGGGTTCAGGGTTGCTTGCAGGACTTAGGACCTATAGGGGCATTGAGGTCTGTATAGGGTTTCGCGTTTAGGGTGTAGGGGCTTTATGGGGTTCAGGGTTTGGTTTCAGGGCCTAGGACGTAGGGCTAAGGATTCAGCACGCACATGGTTTAGTGTTGCAATCCGCAAGCAAAGAATCTTGTGGAAGCCTTATAGACACTAAAGCCTAAACCCTGAGCTCTTAAACCCGCAACCCTAAACCCCTTCAACCCTTGACCCTCGACCCTCAAGCTTCAACTCTCAACCCTAAACCCTTACTTATAACCCTTGTATTCCTAAAGCCCTTTAACCCTAAACCCTAAACCCTTACAACCCCCACCCCCACCCTAAACCCTAAACCCATAATATAATCTTAAAGCCCTTCAACCCGACAACCCTTCGTGATTCCTACGTCCCTCCTTTCACGCGGAGCGTGGCCCAGGCATGGAATTATCCCGAGCCGGGGGGCGCAGTTGCGGAGTGGGTTTAGGGTTTAGGGTTTAGGGTTTAGGGTTTAGGGTTTAGGGTTTAGGGTTTACGGTGTCGGTTGTGGTTTGAGTGTTTAGGGGTTGAGATTGTCTATGAAAGCAGTTCTGTTGATCGGTGTTTCTCGATCGTCAAGCTAGGAGCCTTCAGGAAGCTCAGGGTTTTAGGGTTTGCGTATGAATACGCCAAGTCCATGTTCACGCTGTTAGCCCAGGCATTTTTTGAAGGTTTAGGGTTTGGGGTTTGGGGTTTGGGGTTTAGGGTTTAATTCTGGCCAACCTCACGGACGGTGCAACAACTGGCTTCCATGCTACCGTGGCGAACAAGCACCTGTCACTTGCCAGGTTCGCCACACGGACACAAATGGGTCGAGCGATGGACACAGTGTTGACACAGTACCCCTATGCCTGTCAACGATGCACCTATCATGGACGAAATCAGGAAGAGAGGTGAGGCTGGTGTGCAAGTGTCACGTGCCCTTGTGCCTGAGATGATCCCTACTCAGGGGTTGCTGGGTCTTGCAGCGCACGAGTTGACCAAGTCTCGTGAGATCCCGGTTTCGGGAACAGTGGTGACTCGCTATGAATGGATAAGCCGATAAACCCCAAACCCTACAGCCCTAAAGCTCTCGGTCCCTGTTCAAGGGTTAGGGTTTAAGGTTTACTTGGAGGGGCAGGGGACTTAGTAAGTCGGTTATAAGTAGGGTTATAATTGGGGTAACTCCATTTAGGGCTCTTATAACTCTACTTATAACCTACTTACTAAGTCCCCTGCCCCTCCAAGTAGGGTCTAAAGGAAACCTCCCCCCCAAAGAAGCAGGGAGAGTTGAGGGTTTTTAGTTGGAGGCTTTGGGGGTTTGCCTCAGGAACCTCCCCCCCCCAAAAAAAAAAAAAACAGCAAACCCATCTCAATACCTCTAACAAAAAAGCCCTTGGTGGGTTTTCATTTTGTATTTCCCCCCCCCCCCCCAAAAAAAAAATCAAACAAAATCCACAGAATCCCATAGATAGAAAGCAAGTTGCAGTTCGAGCTTGCGAATCTTCATTTTGGCCTAAACCCTAAACCCTAAACCCTAAACCCTAAACCCTCAACCCTAAACCCTAAACCCTAAACTTGAGGGTTGTGGGGGAGGGGGGGGGTTCGGAATTGGGGTCCCTGAGCCCAAGCCCTTAAACCCAAGTCCCGCACCCTTAACAGCCTTGGCCCCTCTACCCCACAGAAAGCCCCCAAACCCCAACCCCCAATTCCTAAACCCGAAACCCTGTAAGGTTAAGGGTTGATGGGGTTTAGGGTTTTTAGGGTTTAGGGTTTAGAGCTAGAAGCCCCTAAACCCTCCTTCTGCCTCCGGCACCTCCCCCCCCCCCCCCCCCGCCCCGCCCCAAAGAGGTTCCTGGCCGTCTTTCCCTCGGGCAACGTCGACCCTGGAGCTGCTGAGTTCGCGCCCCTCTGGCGGCGCGTTTTAGGGCTTTTCGGTTTTAGGGTTTTAGGGGTTTAGGGTTGGGCGGTTGAGGGTTTGGGGGCGTGGGGTTGAGGGTTGGGGGTTTTTAGGGTTTTGGGATTTGGGAGCGTCAGCCTCTTTCTTGTTTGCGGGGTGGTGGCTGAGGTTTTAGGGTTCTGGGCTTTAAGTCATGCTTACAGGCTTCCTGAACTCAGAAATCAAGTAGTTTGCCAGGAAGGCGATAGAACCACCCTGGATAGCACATGATCTTGCTAATCGCCCCACACCCTGAGTTCCTTGAGTAGGCGCATGCGGGAATGAGTTGTGTTTGTTTTTTTTAACATGTATTTATTTTTTGTTCTTTGGGGGGAAGGGGGTTCGGGCTTAGGGTTTAGGGCTTATAAGGGTTTCAGCTGTATGTGCAACGGCAGCTTTTTACCGACTGCAAGTTCTTTTGTGAGGGACTCTGGATCCTAGACCGTACGCCGTCAGCCCTAATTAGGCCCTAAACCGAAGGCTGTACTTACCTTTGATTCTGCCAGCATCCCTGAAATCCTCAACAAGTACTGTTTGCTCAAGAACCGCCCCCCCCACCCCAACAAAAAAGAGAGAGAGAGAGAAAAAAAAAAAAAAAAAAAAAAAAAACAAAAGAAACAATACTTAGAGTCATTACAAGACGAAGCAGTCTTCCTCATAAGGGTAATCAGAGGATTTGTATAACCCTAAACCCCTAAACCCTAAACCCTGTAAAACCCTAAACCCATAAGGGCAATCAGAGGATTAGTATCTTTCATGTTCATTGGGGGTTCTTCGGCAAAAGAGTAGACAAGATGTGCACAGGCACAGGGTACTGCACGTCGGCAAGCCCAAAAGCAGCCTGAAGCTCCTTCATGAGGCCCCAAACCCTAAACCCCAAACCCTAAGCCCCAAACCCTAAACCCTAAACCCCAAACCCTAAACCCCAAATCCTAATCCCAAACCCCAAACCCTAAACCCCTACACCCTAAACCTGCAGACCCCTTAGACCTAGGCCCTGTAGACCCCTAAACTCACGGGTTTCCCTACTACCCCCCTCCATACTACCCGGGAGCCGGCCATAGCATTTGCCGAATATCCTGAAACCCCTAAACCTAAAATCCTAATAACACTGAAGCAAAGCCATCAAGCCCTAAACCCTAAACCCTAAACCCCGGAACCCTAAACCACCCTAAGCCCTCAACCCTAAACCCTAAACCCCAAGCCCTCACCAGGGCCCAGTCACCATGCGTGGCGAAGAACGTGCTTTGCGTGGGCGCGCTGCTCTGCGGCACTTCTCCGCGGGCTCTGAAGGGGTTTTAGGGTTTACAAGTGCTAATGTATGAATCTTCATATGTAAATATGTGTATGTGTGTATTTGTTTGTAAGATATATCTATATACCCATATGTATACATGCATTGATTTTGTTAGTTCATTTGTTTGTTTGTTGACTTCTTTGTATGTTTTAACGTCGATGTTTCATTTTCCTAGGTGTACTTAGATTTGTATGTATATGCGTGCTTGTCTGTCAGTATACGTTTCCCCGGAGAACAGGTCCTACAACGCCCAGCAGATGTACGTGAACCAGCCCTCGTGTTTCCTCTCCGCACTACAGCTGGGGCCTCAGCCGGCGTCCTGGGGCTTATGGGGTTAGGGTTGAGGGGTGTGGAGTTTAGGGTTTAGGGTTTTGGATTTAGGGTTTAGGGTTAGGGTGCGGGACCTTGGCTGCCTGAAGAAATTATTCAGGGTGTTTGGGGTCTTTGGGGCTTCCCGGGTGCATGTCCCTAAACCCTTTCAAAGACTTAGGATTCAGAGCACGGGGCTTGTTCCCTTCAACCCGATGAAACCCTAAACCCTAGCCCTAAACCCTAAACCCTAAACCCCGAAGCCTCCGCCAGGCTCGGCTCCGACAGCTGCCTCGGCGCCGGGCGGGGCGCTTGCGCCCAAGAGGTGCAGGCCAGGCCCTGGGGGCGGGGGGGGGCGCCTTTTGTTTTTTTGCTTTG